CTAGGGATTGAACAAAACATCTTATAGGGCTACACTGTTACTCAACCCTTTTTTGGCCTGCGGGCCAGCAAATTTCCATAACATTTTTGCAATCCAACAGAAATTCTTTGAATACATCCCAGCATATAAAGTCCTCCAAAAAGAAAACTTGAACTGGAAAATTTAGTTTAAAAACCGATGAAGCAGCTATAGTGGAATATCTTTAAAAAATAGAAAGGTTCTTCACAGTGAAAACTATTGGAATTATTTATTTCAGCAGGTGAAACTGTGTCTGAAGTCATATAGGAGAAACGCCAAATTTTATTTCTCATGAGATAATTTAAACTGCCAATGTCTTTTTAAAATTTCCGATAAACATAACAGACTTCATTACTTTCAATAAATTTAACGTAGACCGGTAAACAACTTCGGCAAAACCAAAGCCCGTCCGCGCGGACCACACGGGTTGCAGACCACTGCTATCTGTTCTATATAGTCCACGCATAACACTTACATTCATCGTCATAATTTCCTTAGCCGTCGCTTGGCATGACAGCAACTCATGATTGCAGCAACCTCCGCATCTCTCGATTCTCGTGCAAGTCGGCACTATGTGATAATGACGAGACTCCAGAGCTCCGTCCGGAACTTGGATAGGAACGGCGACCTTTTCTGGAGCACACCCGGCGTTCATGGCGAACTGTATTCCAGCTGACAATATCATCTTTCTTTCAAAACATGTGCTTGGTAAAAAAAAAAAGATATCGTCTGTAATTTTTACTCACAATGCCTGCCAAAATGCTGGGTCGTCGGCATTTGCTGCAGAGGGACACCGACGGCTGGACCACGTCTTTCTGAAACTTCATGCAAAAGAAATTCCTGAAATTGATCAGTTTTCCATTCATGGAAGAAAGTTTAGGCTTTAAAAAAAGCAAGTTTTACGCAACAATACGATTCCATCATCATTTCATAATGCGCTCTATTTTTAGCCCGTCAAATAAAGCTCGATTGCAAAGCCAAGACTTATTTCTTCGAAAATGACCGCAAAAGCGTTTTTGCTGCGCATTCCAGGGAAAATCAAAGAGTCAATTTAATAATGTACAGTATTGACATAAGTGGGGCATCGACATGCGGACGCCGCAAAATATGGACGATTAAACTCAATGACATTTGAAACTCAAACATCCAGACAATTGCTTTCAAGAGACGGAAAATTTACCAAAATTTCTGGACAGATGGAACAATTTTATTTTTCAAATTTTCACATCTCTTGGACAAATTGAGCGTTCAATACTGTATTTATAACATTTAATACGAATTCAATGTAATCCAAAACAGGCTAATTTTTAGTTTATTTTTTCAGAGTTCTCTCCATCATCTGTTCACAGCAGCATACTGCAGTAAGATTTCTGCCCGTTTCTTTGCAGATCAGATTCTGCGCAGTTTTTCTGGCATTGTTATTTTGTTTATCTTGAAGCTGAGAAAAATAATTTTACTAAATTTTTTTGCTAGACCTCTTCCTAATTTTTGGTCAACAGGAGAGCCAATGAAATATTTTTCAATCAAAGTCCAAGGGAAAATGCGACCTGACATGCAGACACACCAAAATAGTGGCAATAGATCCAGCAAGCACCAATTTCATCCACATCTTGGATCCCCAATATGTTTATATATTAGAATCTTGTTCCGAAGAAGCGTTTGGGACAAAAAAGCTTCATTATTGTGTTCAGAAATTTGTTTAAACAAAATTAAAACAGCATTGTTGTGGCTATTGGAAATAGACCAAAAACAAATTCGTTATAAGAATTCATTAGTTATGACGATATTCGTTGTAACGAGATTCTACAGTATATCTTATTAATACACAATGAGTTGCAATTTAAATACAGTACAGTACTGTATAAACTTGGCTCACTCCAATTTTTGTGTACGAGGAATTGAACTTCGTGCGGCCAGAAGACAATTTCAACCTCCCACCTTTCCTCGAAAGAAAAAATCCCGCGAGATACAAAAGCCATTGACATACTGTATAGCAATCAGCATGCTGGATTTTTAATTCGAATTATCTGTTTCATGGGTCAAGTTTAAACGATGTCTTGACCTTGTGCCCAAAAATGCGGAATAAATTCACGATCGACATATCCGATGGTTTCACGGCATACTTTTGCCACCCGAAGAACTAGGGTTTTACAACCGGACCTACAAGGCGCCAAAAAGACGCACTCAGCTTTTTTTCTTCTTAATTTTCAGTCAGGAAGTCTCATACATTTCTGCGGAGCACGTAATGTGATGAAACTTACGAAGCTTACTGGAATAACCAGGATAGCGAGGAGGAGGGGCTTGCATGATGTTTTGACCAGCAGGCTCGGGTCCAAAGTTTCCGGTCGGCATCACGTCGTCCAGAAAAATTCCCTGTTTGTCAAAAATTGCGAGCCATTCGTCCACGCTTTGCGCATTTGAAAGTCGCAGAGCGTCTTCAACGGATAGCTGCCGGAAAGCGATAAAAATTTCCTGCGTCACACTCGTATGTTGTACGAGTCAAATGCGGTACATATAAGGCGAACGAATTCTGAGTTTTTCTTTCAACAGTTTCAAGATCATGTCTAGGAAAGTGTTTGGCGGCGATAATAGTCCGATTGAAAACTAGAAAACAAACTTTTTGAATTTCTAAAAAGGTTTGCAAAGGCAACTGCTGCTTTTTGACAATTATTTATGTGATAATATATTTGGCGGCATCTTCTCAAAACTGCCTGAACAGTAAGTTTCGTATATTGTTGCTGAATTATAGAGCAAATAAGAGATATACAGTACTGTAAGTTCAGATTCCTGTTCCGCTTTCATATGTTCAGGTATTATCCGTCACACAAAATTATATCCCGAAATTCTCAACCCATACTTCCTGGAGCCCTGAAATTTACTCAGTGGCTCCAAAAAATAAAATTAAAAAGAATTAAACGTAAGAAAAGAAATATGGATTCTATTATATGGATTCTCTCAGTATATGGATTCTCGAAGTATAGGGGACCACACGAAATGAACAAGAACTACCTACAGTATTTCTTTAATTAGAGACAATAAGTATCTTTTTTAGTTCACCAGTGTTCACCACGATCTTCAGGTTTCAGCGGAATTACGGTACAGTATAAGGGATTTTAGAATCAAAAAGGTGGTGAAACTCCGCAACTACCATGCATATCCAGTCATCAGAACATATGTAAGTTATTCACGATTGACGAAAAACCACTGAATAAATTAATTTCAATGATGTTGAACTTCAATGCTGCAAAATTTACTTCACATAGTCAATGATCAATCTCCTATACAGAACAAAAAAGCATCAGAACAAACTTCGTATTCAACAGGAGAACTGTCACTGCTGATGATGGAAGTGCTGGAACCCCGGCCACAGAATCCATTCAAGCATGTCTGGTTTGATGAGTTTCGGCTCCCGTTGGAGTAACTGCTGGCGACATAACCGAAAAAACTGAGAATCACCAGTAAAATGCGCCCCATCATATCTGAATTCGATACTGAAAGAAGCGCAAAACAAGCTTCAGAGCCATGTATAAATAATTAGATTAACTCAACACCAGTTGGAAAGCACAAAGCACGCACAGGACAGATGAGAACTCCTCCTCCCAGCAAGAGATTCTGATCCACAGAGGATGATTAGAAGGACAGAAAACAAGAGGTTAAAGCAAGTTCCTCAGCTCACTCTGTACAGTTTACTACTGTGAAGTACAGTAATATACACATCATCAACCATGCCGGAAGCTAAGCGCGACTTAACTATAGATAATATCAAAGAGAATCCAAAGCAATTCCAATGACAAACACATATCAGACACAGACGGAGTTACAAAGTACTGCATAAAAAGTACAACAAACTCGATTTCAAAAACAGTAAATCCAGATTAAATCTCACAATTTCTACACAAAGACCCAGACACTTTCAGAGGAAGGGCAGGAAAAAAAGCTGAGGTTCCCGCAAGTTCCTCAGCTCTCCCCTTATTCAGCCCACACGCACATCACCATCACCAATAACTAACTCACTTTGCCCCAAAGCAACTCGATCCACGTCTGGAACTCGTCTGTGTCCTTCCGACTCTGGCTGCTTGGGTCTCCATCAGAGTTTGTTGATGCCTCTGCGCTGCCGCGTGCTTCCCACGTTGTTGCTTGGGTTCCTGCATGGTGAATAACTACTAGTCCATGCATACCAAGGTTCTAACAAAAGTTCTTGGAATAGAAATTAAAATGGTGTCTAATCGAGCTGCAAAAAATTATTATTTAGTGGAAACATATTTTTGGCACACAAAAAAAAATCAGCCCTATTGGACAATTTTTTTTATTGTTTTGCAAAATTCACCCCGGTAGAGTTTTGCTCTCCAATCAAAAGATAAAAGGCGCCCTTCCTGCAGTTTTTTTATTATTTTTTTAGCCCAGGTTTTCACTCAGAATTCTTGAAATCAACGTGACATAAATTCCAAGGGTTGCCTCCAGGTCTTCCAAGGTAATTCCGCCATTTTCATAACAGCCGCCTTGACAGCCACCAATGTGATGGCTGTGGAGGCGGCTGTTGATGAAAATGGCAGAATTACCTTGGAAGACCTGGAGGAAACCCTTGGAATTAATGCCACATTGATTTCAAGAATTCTGAGTGAAAACCTGGGCTAAAAAAATTAAAAAAAAAAGATGGAGGAAGGGTGCCTGTCATCTTTGGAGTGGAGAGCTAAACTCTGCCAGGGTGAATTTTGCAAAACAATAAAAAAAATTGTCCAACAGGGCTGATTTTTTTGTTCTGTGCCAAAGAATATGTTTCCCCTAAATAATAATTTTCTTCAGCAGGATGAGACGCCATTTTAATTTCCATTTCAAGAACTTTCGTTAGAACCCTGGTATGACGCTACATCACGCCACGCAATCGTTTTTCCCGCTAGTTCCTGCGCAACGCATTTGCTCGTTACGAATGATTCCGCTTTCACGAATGACTCATCATTGCCAATCGCGGTCATTGCTATTTCTGCTTATCAACCGGTTTGATCGCCAATGATACCCTATAATGCATGTAGAGCTGTTCCCGGACTCTCGCTATAGTCGCATGTGTCAGCATTTTTAATTCTTCGCCCTGTGCGTTGTGGTAATTCCGGCGGGAACGAACTAAAAAGGTTCCAAAATAATGTCTACCAGGGTAAGAGGAGTAATATTGATCAGACCTCTGAGAAGCAGATCTTAGGCAATGTTTGTACAAATAATTATAGTCACACTTTACATAAAACGAAGCTATACTGAATTTGTAGAGCTTTGCCAACGCACACATCAACAACGTAGAAAATAAATTCTTGATTGCATGCTGTATATATGCTCGGGCTATCCTGTACCTCACTCCATGCAGGTGTGGTACTGTACGAATCAATGTAAAGGAAAAATAGAATATTGCAAACATGATGATAACCAGACCAATCTCATCTTTAATGTTGCCAAGCGCAGTATAGCAAAAGCAGCTCAGTTCCTTCCTCCTTGCATACATGCTGTCGCGGCCTGAAGCCATGCAGCTCCAGCATCCGGTTGAAACTGGACCCAAAAACTTGTTACATTTCTGAGGACCCTGAGCCTCCCAAAAACGGACCTGTTTTTGTGCAAGACTCACTGAGCCTCACTCAAGGACAAGAAGTGATAATCACTTCTTCGATTTTCCTTTATTGGCCAATCCTGAGCCAGGAAGAAATCACCTGATTTCTTCCTGACCCAGCCCAAGCACCTGGCTATAAAATCCTTCATTCCTCTTTGAGAGGAGAAGTCGGAACCTAGTGTTAAAGGACCTTTTAACTTTAAATTACCTCATTCAATATTCTGAGCTAACCATTAACTCTACCATTACAAACATTGAATTAACAGCCAATTGATCAACTGGACAATGAGAATGAACTCCTCTGAAAAGAGTTGGAGTTCTTATTCAAAACTTGCATTCTGATGGCTGCACAATTCAATTCCTTTGTCTGGGATCCAATGGACCCATGACACATGCATTATGTATACTAGTACCACATGGAACAGGATAACTTTTAAACACAATGCTTTCCTGATTTCATCAAGGTCCATTCTTGCTTCACCTTTTCCATTTCATTCATGCAAGCACTTATGTCATTGATTAACAAAAATTGCGGCAATATATTGCCTATTACTGTCCTCGGTGCATTTAAATGTTCTTGAAGTTCTGCTTCCAGCAAATTATGGAGAGATACACATATTTCAGCTGCTCTCAGCATGCAAAAAAATTGAAATAAAATAAATGATACACAATACAAATGGGAGTCTCTATCTAGCCTTTTATCAGCTTTGCTTTGGATATTATATTGAACTGCATAAAAATTATTTGAAAAACACTCGAAGTTGCTATGTTTGCATTTTCACGTGTATATAAATTGGTAAAATCCTTGATTGTGTTGAGCATTAGTTTCCTTCCTACGTTTTTCTTGCAGACATTGATGCAATTTTTGAAATGTCCCGGTGATGTGATTCTCAAAACAAAAATTTATATCTACATTATTGAACTGTGAAGTGAAGATACCATAGATTTCAAGCAAATATTGTAGTAAATTTACCCCATTGACATCGGCTATAACATTGTAAAATGTAAGTGAAAGCTGAATTAATAAGTTTTGACACAGCTGAATTAAGTTTTGACGGCCGAAGTTTGAACTAGGCCAGCATCAGTGAGTGTCCATGAACTTTCTGCTAGTGCTGTATACTGGCATGTGTGTGCCTCCTTGAAATTGTTTTACACCAAAGCTTTCCTGTGCTTACCATATTTTGCACTGGCAACTCGTAGAATGTACATCAGCAATACTGTATACTAGAGAAACACTCATGCGAGTGTCACGACGTCACTCAGAATAGAAAACGCTCGGATTAACGACGATTTGCTTACTTGCAGAATTGTGAATTTCACAGGTTCTTTTTTTGAATCATGGCTTTTTATTTTACCTCTCAGCTCTGTTTCGAAGACATTCGCTACATACACTATTGTTCCTGCGTCTCCCATCAATGCAGATCAGCGACAATGAAAAATCACCCCGATGCACGAAAGGGTGGTTCGAATACAAAACGGGGGCAACGAGCCGCAAATTAATGGAAAAAAAGACAGAAAAAACATGTTCTTATAAAATTCAGGATACAAGTTGGCACCTTTAGCAAACAACGATCAACACTTGAACGTCTCACATCAACCTTCCTCTCATCATTGTGCTTCCATCCTTTTCCTAATAATAAGCAAACCCTTCATTATATTTAATTCACCCGAGATGAAAATGATCGTTAAATTTCTCATAAATATCTATTCTCTGTAACTCACAAATGAATTTATTTTGTATTCATGGATAAGAAGGCGTTTACGCGTTGATGATATATGCTGAACAACACATCATCGTCCAGCTGATCAGTGAATTCGCGTTTGAGGATTTAACTTGTCCTCGTTTCCACAATTCTCTCTGAATCCCGGTATCACAAGTTTCTCCTTCCTAAATCCTCAATTGCCCTTGAATATCGAGGGAATGCCTTGCGCAAAAAAGAACATTATATAAGCCTCTACTTCTTGAGAAGCTTTCATCGGATAAACATTTATGCAAAAATATGAAACGATCGTCACTTGAACAACAATCATCGAAATGGATAGTAAAGGGGTTTCAAAAAATGTATTCGAACAACTCACGACATTGTGAGACAAATCCAATAGGATATTCGTTTCGAAAAACGTTATCCGCTTAAACATCAAGAAAAGTCGAAAAACTCGGGATATACTTCTACCTATAATGCCTCGAAAATGGCCCAAGACGCCGAATTTTGGCCAAGTTGCACGTTATTTTTGCGTCCAATAATTAAAAACGAAGAAGAACGATTGAGATCAATTCGGAATCCTTTCGTCGCGATTGAATCTAAAAATCCATCATTAGTTTAACTAATCATTTACAACTCTTCTATAGCTGCTGTGGCACGAGATTTGTCCCAGTACCGCGTGATCTTTCGTATTCATTTCCGCGCCATTCCGAAAATGCATTCTGTCGAGGAAATGTTTGTCAGGTCCGGGGCATTATCTCCAAAGATATTCTTCTATTCTTATATTCTTCTATTTCTTCTATTCAAACATGTTGTAGAAAGTGATCTAAATCCACCTGAAAATCCATAATACTTGAAACGCAACTTCAATACAATATATAAATTTTCTTTCAATATAGGGATGTAAAAAAAATTAAAATACTCGATGCTCCATTTCAACTCATTGGGCTACACTTGACAAGATGTTAATGGAGTATTGAATTTATTGTATTGAATTTATGGAGTATTGAATGCGTGAAATTATTTCCCCTTCTTATGTCTGATTCATAATGTTATTGATACTCCATTCACTAAAATATGTAAGTCAAATCTTTGAATAAAACATTGGCGGAAACAGGGTATATTCAATATTTTATGGTGTGTTCAATTTGCAAGTTCTGTAATGGGCTGGATTTAGTTTCACCAACCAACGGAGAAACTATTGCATAAAAATTGTCTGAACTCGAGCTTTCAGTTCCTTCCTGACATTTTTGGTACAGGGAACAATAAGAGCTCGAGTTATCTTAAAAATTGTCAGTAAAATCAATCTGTTTCCTCGATTTTTAAGAAATGAACAGCAGAGACATTTTCAGTTGACAGAAAAATTGGGTCTCGTGTGATCGAAGAGTCTTACATTCGTATATAAGTACAGTACGATATTGAAGATTAAAGAATTCAAGCAAAGGAAGACGAGAAAAATTGGAGCGATTCGACAGCACAAAAACCTAAATGTGTGGAGAAGTCTGCGGAAAAGCTTTCCCAGCCTCGACGAAAAAACCAAAAACAAAACGAGAAGAAAACACCGCACCAACTGACAAAACGCATTTCCGAAATCGTGCCTATATAAAGACGTTATACCAAAGAGTCACGAGTGTACCAGAGACAACCTTTCTTTTTTTTGTCTTCCTCAAATTCGCAAGCACGACCTTCCTCCAACAGAAAACAATGCGTTAAAACTTGATATATCGCTTGACTCCGATCACAGTTCAACGTTATTCCAAAGAACGCAACGAGTCCGAACAAAGCTCAACCAGGTAAGTGAGATACAAAATACAAAAATTCCTACCGTGCCGCCAACACGGGCGTGCCCGTCGAATACTGCGTCGCATTTCTTTCCTTTTTTC